TTACAATCACATTCCACACAAAAAATGCAGGAGGAAAAATATAAGTCAGATTTGGAGCACGTGGCTATGTGCAGTAGCCAGCAGCAGCTATCTAAATTTTTCCTGTGTTGCTTAAATAAAGCAATTATTTTTCTAAAAGGTAGAAACTTCATAATGACTTAATTTTCAGCTGGGCCTTACACATCTTCTAATCTAAGAAATTCACTATGCATACCTTGAAATCAATTAGGCCTTGATTTGGCAAAGCTCTTAAGCATGTGCCTAAAATTAAGCATATACGGAACTTCCACTGCCATCAATTGGACTGTATTGAAGCAGATTTAAGCACATGGTTAAATGCTTTGCTGGTTTGGGGCATTTTCCCTGTCCGTTAATCCAGCAGGGAGCTGAATTAATGACTGCACATCCTTTCAGCAACAGATCACTTTTGATAATAAAGTCAGGCTAGCCATCTGGAGGAACTCTTCCTCATATTTGCTACTGGATCCTGCAAACCTGTTACTCACTGGAATAGTCCCTTCTCCTGAAAACACTCCCATTAATGTCATTGGGACCAGTCACTGGAGTAAGGACTACTTATGTGAATACAAGTGGGCAGGATAAGGAATTATTTTTAAGACCCTCCATAATCTTACTCCTACCATCCTCTTGGCCCATCTTTCCCTCCCTGCCCTCTGGTCCTTTTGCATTGACCTCCTCCCTATCCTGCCGTACTGGTATACAAGTCTTCTCCTCTCTATTGCAGAACCAGAGAAATTGCCACAGTGCATCAGAGGAACATTGATCCATCTAATCTAGTATGCGGTCTCTGACAGAGGACAGTGCCACCTGTCATCCACAGTTGTACCTGCATGCATCTCTGTCTCATCAGCTTTTCTTCATCTGAAAATCTCTTGTCAAGCTTGTGTATTCCTCTTCATGTCTCTTTCTCTGCAATTATTTTTTTTACTTCCCTTTGTAGCCCCATTTAACTCAGCAATGCAGATTACACGAAAGACACTATAATAAGTAAAGTTATATTGGCCTAACTAGAAAATCCACCCTTGATGGCGTTAATCTATACATGCATATGGTCCCACTCCCATGATTAGAGTTGACCAGAAAATGGTTTCAAACTTTCAGGGATTTTTCCACTAAAAGTTTAATTTTTAAAAAATATCAGCCACCTCTATTCATAGCTTACAGTTCAGGTGGCGATGAATGATTAAATAATGTGTTAAATGTATTAAATATGTATTTGTATTAAAAATTTATTAAATAACATGTACCAAAAGGCCACAAATTAGACTGCCTAGGGACTCAGCCTATTAACATACCATTAGTTACAATCCCTGTCCCAGTGTGCATGTCCATCATCCATTGCACGATTTTGGAAATTTCTGGTTCTTCTGCAAGAAGTCCTGCTTCCCTGCTAGCATGAAACACTGTCCCCCTATTTCCCTACAACTCTTCTCAGTTGGTGATCCAAACAATAAGACAAAATTATGGCTCAGTTGTTGAGCGAAGGGGATAAGTAAAGTTCAGGCAATTTCTCCTAGCCAAACAATTAGTTTGATCCTGACATTCTTACTCAGGAAAAATTCCCTAATGGATATTTTGCATGAGCATGAGGTGCGAGCTCAGGTCTTTAATATTTGTATTCCAATGTGCCTTGGAAAACACATTGCAACCACTTGGTATTCCAACTATAGCAACTCATGTGAATACAATCCCATGCCAGAAAAATGTCACTGCTGCCCAACTGAATCACGAAGGGCAGTGATGGAGATTTTCTGTGGCAGCTAGGCAGAGGTAAATGTAAGGGAAGATGTTTATGGGGGAAAGGAGAGGGACTGAGGAGAAATGACAACTTAGACGAGCTTTTGACTGTTTGCTTATTTGTTGTCTGCCCTCTGTGTTTGTCCTTCTTTTAGATTGTTTAGCTCTTCCGGACAGGGAGTTTCTTGTTGGTTTAGTGACTTTGGTTTAGTGACTAATACAGTACAGCCTCAAAGCTGGTTAGGGAGTTGAGGCATTACTGGAATAACACCACCATAACTTAAAAAAAAAAAAAAAAAGGACAGTAAACCAAACATTTGAGAAAACTGGAGCAGCCGGTCAAGGAGACACAGCTAGAGATGTTCACTATTAAGGCTAACTACAAACATGGCACCAATCATTACAATATATGGTGACTTCACAAATGTGGGACTCTGTCCTCCCCACACCCCTATGAGAGAGAAGTGTTAACATTCTCATTTGACAGCTGGGAAGCTGAGGTACAGAAAGATGAAAAGACTCCTCCAAACTCACACAGGAAGTGCACGGCAGAGGCAGGAACAGAATCCAGCCCTACCATGTTCAAAGCCTTAAACACAAGATGGGCTTCAGGGAGCATAGTCTCATGTCACATGGAAGATTTCAACAAAGATTTCTTAATTTTTGTCTGAAAACACCTTAAATTGTTTTGGGAGCAGCTCAATGTACTGAATATAGCCCCTAGTAAGAGTCAACCCCTGGGGAGAAATATCCACAAAGGTGTTGTTATTCTTGTAATCTCGAAAACCTGAAGGCAAAGTTTGATAGGTGAATAGAAGTAGCCAGTGCTTTGTATTTGAGGGGAGTCAGTGAGTAACAGTAGAGAGGAAGAATGGTGCAGTGGTTAGGGCACAAGCCTAAGAAATAGGAGACCTGGGTTTAAGTCCCTGCTGTGCTATGGACTTCCTGTATGACTCTGGGCAAGTTGCTTAGCCACTCTGTGCCTCAGTTCCCCATTTTTAAAAGGGACCTTGAGTTGAGGTGGCAGGGAGTCTAGGTACCTAACCAAGCCAGGAAACTTGCCATGTTAGTCTGTCTCCAACTCCTCTCCTATGCAAGTTAATGTCCTGTTTAAGGATCTTCTGCTACGTCAACTCATTGTAATCCTTGTGGAACTTCATCCACAGAAAGCTGTGACTTTTATTTCAAAAACTCTGACTTTGAACACTGGGGCATGTTCCAAGCAATTATTTTGTTCTGAACCTGGATGACATTGTAAGAAATGAGCGAGGAAAGCCCAAAAGGAGGTCAAGAGACAAATCTAAAGAAGATGAACATCGATCTGAATGAACCTTCCTATTAGAGGACTGTGGAAACCCCTCTGAACAAAGGTTCATAGCAGAGGACAGAGGGAATATTTGCTGAGTTTCTCCTAAGGCATTCATAAACATGACCAGCATAGCAAAATAGACAGAGGATGATACTTTCCCTCTACAATTCAACTTTAAGTGATTTTTCTTGGCAGAAAAAAAAAATCAAAACCAAAACTTTAAATAGGATGCAACACTTTCTGGTGTTCTGAAGACAGAAGAAATACATACAGTATTTTGTAAACTCAGGTTCAAAACCCCATAGTAATTCTTACTTTTTCCTGGTGTGTCTTCATCAAAGTAATGTCAAAAGGATGAATCTGAAAGGCTGCTGCCTTCTTTAAAAAGGCATGATGCAGATACAGAATAGTTTCTCTTACTCTGGAAAGAATCTAGACTATTTTTTTTTCAATGTTTGTGGGTATTATTACAAACCTCTTAACACATTAAAACATAATGACACAAATTATCTGTGTCTTCACAGATGATGCCTCACTTCCCCAAATCCTGGGAATTTTCAAAGAGACAAAAAATTATAAAAAAAAAAGAATTAAATTATATATTCAACCTACATCCAGTCTTTGTCAATCACCTTAAAGAGAAAATGGCCCCTTTTTACACAGCTGCACTACTTACTGAAAATCCACTACAAAGTGATTGGAATTCCTTTAAGCCAACGCATGACTCTCTAATGAGATGAGACAGATAGGTCCCCATGCAGCCACACAGAGCCATTTTCAAAGGACAGGTGTTGGCAACTAACTTGTTGGCTTACCTAAGGCTCAGTTTTAACATCAGCAAAGGTTGCTGTAGTCTCAGGAGCAGACAGCAGTTAGACTCATAAGAACTAGCAAAATGAATGCAAACAATACAATTGACTACTAGACACCTGATTAATTCCTTCCAATGGTTCCGATTTGTCCCATCTATTTCTTTTAAAGCAAAGAATCCAGAGAACTGCACGCAGCAAACCAGCTTGATCGCTATTGAACGCAGACACGGTGATTCTGAATTGATCAGTCTTGTCTGATTAAGAGCCCATGCAAGTAACCTCCTACCTGAGCTTTGAAAACTCTTGCCCAAAAACTCCACCCTACCCCAATCTGGGATCTAGACATGCTCCGTTTGCTATTCAAATGTGAGCAAAGTTCCATTTTACAGCTATGCCCTGCGCTTGGAGCTCTATTTATAACCCTCAACCCTATGCTGAATCTATTATGCCTGGCTCCTCAGCTGAAATATTTGCAATATCACCTCTGCACACCTGCCCCAATTTAGGATTTCTAACTCAAAGCTGCCCGTCCCTTCTCTTCCCCCCACCCTTTCTATTCTCTCTCTATAAGCATCCTCAGCTGGAGCATTTGCAATATCACCTCTGCGCACCTGCCCTGAGCTGGGATTTGCTGTTTATCACCTAAAGCCCACTTCCGTCCCTCACCCTATGATCAATCCATCATGCGTGCATCAAAGGTAGGCGGAAGCCTAATGCAATATCACTCCTGCGCACCTGCCCTTCGTTTGCCGCTTCATATATAACCCAAACACCGCCTCATGCATCCTCAGTCTCCCGGAATCTACATTAAATTGCTTCCCCCCCCCCCCCGATTTTAACACTGCCTCCATTTCCCGCCCTGCCCTTCCCCAATAAAGCACGGTGACACTATTGTTCGTGTAGTTATTTATTTTGCAACACCAACTAGTACATATTTTAAAATAAAGTGTGAAGACGCTTTTGGACTGTGCCGTACAAAAAGCCGAGGTTGCAGCAGTGATTAACTCCTACCGCCTTTCTCCCTCCCCCCCCCAGCTATTCCAGCCCTAGCTGCTAATCTGGGGCGGCCCCTTCTGCAGCTGCGGCCGCTTTCTCGCGCGCCGCCTCCCCGGTGGAACGCTGCCTGCCTCACCCGCCGGCTCGCGCCTGGGCGCGCGCGCGCTGCCTCGCCAAGCTCCTGTGAGCTCTGTTGAGAGCATCGCAGGCTGGGAGCATCCTGGAGCCCAAAGCAAAAGATTCCCCTGCGCGAGAAGGCTCCCCACCCCTAATAGCAGCGTGAGTGGGCTGTAAGTTCTGCCCAGGGGGCTGCAGCAAGCGGCTTGGAGCGTGACCTCTTTCTTTGGGGGACTGCAGGCAGGCGTGCCAATCCCCCATGAGCTGAGGGGGAAAAAAGACGGACGTTTCTGCGGGGTAAGTAAAAGGTTGCACTAAAATTGTGTATTTGTATAAGGGAGGAGGAATTGCGTGGGAGTAATGTGGGTTCAGGAAAGCAATTATATGCGCCCTGCAATGCAACTACTTTTTGCTAACTCTTGGCTGGATCCTCCTGTCCCATCGCCGCACCCCAACCTGTGCAAACTTGTTTGTTTTTAACTAAGTTTTAAAGTACAGTCGCATGTTTCCCGCTGCCCGTTGGCACCCGATTAACCGGCCAGGTCATTGCACACAGCTGCACCCCACCGCTGCTTGCCCTTTCACCGCGGAGACCTAAAGAGCAGGTTTTCATTTGGGGCGCGCGTATGTATTTAAAATAAATTGAAACCCTACCAAGCTACGTTGTTTCTTCGCTTGGTGCGTCGGAGGCTTCATTAACCCGAACAAACTGGTAAACGCAAATCAGAAATTGGAGGCGAACCCCTCCACTCTTTTTATTTCTCCCCCGACATGATTTCCCCTCTAACTTGGAAACAAGGCGAGGGGAAATCCGTAGACGTGGGAAGAACGACCCCTGCAGTTGCATTGCGGAAAATCTCGTTTGCTTGAAGGGGAATTACAGGAGCCGAAGCGTTTTGGAAGGAGAAGTGGGCTATGATATTGTGTTTTCTAGTTCGTGTTATGTACGTGAAATAACACGCATGGGGGGTCTCATGCGTAGCAACGTGTATTAATCTTCTTCTGATCACTTTGTAGAAACAGGAGAGGAAACCCACCCTCCTCCCCCGGCATGGGGCTTTGTGGCAGTGCCCCGGTGAGTCGTGCAGAGTTCGGGGGTAACTTGCAGCTGGCTTCCCTGGAATAGAGACTCTCCGGACCGGATCAGCTGGCGTTTGTTGTCTATGTCTTGTTGGGAGATCTGGTGGATTTTTGTCTCACTCCTGGAGGAAGAGCCCAGGGCTGGTGGTTGCCGCCTTCTTGGTCTTCTTTGGAGGGCGAAGGAAGGGAAGGGATCTCGCTTGAGCCGTGCAGAGAGAGAGCTCGGACATGTGTTGTCAGCACATCTGGGGAATACAGTCTGCAAGTCCGAAAGGAGATTTGCTGGGATCGTTCAAAGTGCGATATTGATCTTTGTTATTTCTTTTCGCCGAGGGATGCACTTGGCATGAGAATCGGAGGATGGAAATTGTTTGGGAGGTGCTTTTTCTTCTGCAAGCCAATTTCATCGTCTGCATTTCAGGTACGCAGCGAACATGTAAGGGGAGGGGGATATCAGCAGTGTATTCGGGGTTCGCCGTCCGTAGAAGTGCGAGAAATAAAAAATAAAATAAAAAATAGCAGTGCTAATCGTGGCTAAATTAGTTTAAGAGATTCGTTAGGTGCCTTTTGCCCCACTCTACTCTGATAGTGCATTAATTACGGTGCATTGGTTGCAATAATTAATTGCAGTGATTTGGTAGCACACTGGTAGTCATTCCTAACACACTGTGATTGCAATAATTAATTGCTACATTGCTACAGTAATCCCAGCATGTCAGGGCTTTTACAGAGCTAAAACTCGGTTGATCTGGGGTTTTTAAAAGGATTGCAGTTCACTGGCACAGTTCTCATGTTCTGGTGTGCCACGTTTTTTAGGGGTTGCAAAAGAAAGAATGGTAGTGAGCAGTGTGTTTACAGTGTGTGTGTGTGCTGTAAAAGGATTTAAAAACAAAACAAAACCCCAAACAACAGTGTGGCTGGTAATCCTGTTTCAGACTCTTCCGTTTCAAGGTTGCAAAGATTTCTACCATTCTGCAGAAGTCAGGTAATTTCAGTTGTCACCAGAGCCTGTCCAATTAATGAATAGGCATGGCAGGGTATCTAGTGTTAAGGATTAGAGCAATTTATTCTTGGGGAAAACACTCTTTTCTACTTCAAAAGCCCTGGCTAGCTCGTTAATTTGTCAGGTCAGTCATGCTGGAGTAATTATATTGCAGGAGCAACTGTGGGGGAGCCAGCCAGTTTTCTAGTTTGGGATGGCACCAGGGGGATCCAAGCTGCCTTATCTGCTTCTCTTCCCTGCAGGCTGCCTCTGCCCTGGAGTCATTGCATAAACCTGTGAATGGGAACTCTGACAGCATCGGCTATTCCATTTCAGGGAGGGAGATCCCGCTGGGCCTCAGTGCAGAGCCAGGAGTGCTTAGCAAAACTTGCAGCTCCCCAGTGACCATCAGCATCTGCACCAACTCACACTACCAGTTCTTGTAGCAACTGGCACTCCCTGCACCAGTCCCTGGTCTAATCTGGCTTCTCAACTGCTGGATTGTCATCACCTGCACTAACCACCTCCCCTCCCCACATTGGCAGTATCTACATCATTTTGCATGATCTGCACCTGCCTCACCTCTCCTCTTGCCCCTGGTCTGGTAGTGCCTACCTCAGCCCCCTGAGTAATCCAACCCCTTTTCCCTGCATTGGTACCACTGGCATTTAGATTGGGACCCTCTGCATCTGGGTGATAGGTCCTCTCATACTGGTAGTATCTCAGACTGCCCTTGTGCTAATCCCCTGTCATATGTGCCATCTGGGTAACCCACCCTCTCACTCCTTAGAATGGCATGACCCCCCCACCCGCACTGCCTCTTTCATCCAAGCCTCACACTTTGCTGTCTAACCCAGTGTGATTCGCCAGCTGTCTAGCACTTTTCAAATTAGACGTCATCTTTAAAAATAACAGCAATGGAATAATGAACTCCTTGGTGTGAGCATGGGAAGGAGGAAGATTCTTGTCACCTCGAAGATTAACGTCTTGAGATGGTCATAGGGATAGTATCCCCAGATCTCAGTGCCACCCGCTGTCACCCAAACCAAAACCCTGCTTCTGAAACTGAGTGGGATAAGTCTTGCAGGGCTCTTTTTTGGCTCTCCATCTCCCTCTAGCATTGAGAACAGTCTGATATCCATCCTTTATTTTTTAAGGAATACAGTGAACCACAGGCTTTTTGCTGTGTGGCCTCAGATAGTTTGCTTTAACCTCATACAGGATGTTTACATACATTTAGCCTTCAGTTCCATATATGTTTCCCCCAGGAATCCTCATTTTTCATGGCTTCTTAGTACTTGTCATCTCAGAAAGAGGGATTAAGATCTGCCTGTATCTGCTTGGCATTAATGCTTCATTTCTCTCCGCCCTCCCCTTCCCCCCCCCCCCCCC